GGAAAAGTTATTCTGCGAGAGAGAAGAAAGAAAAAGGGAGTAAGCGTAAAGGGGGGGGGAAGAGGTTGTCGATGGAAAGAGGAGAAGGGATAGTTGTGAAAAAGGAGTGGGATGAAAGGAGGTCGGAGAAAGGGATGTAATCTTTCCCGAAAGAGGGAGGAAGACGAAGGGAGGGAGAAAGAGGGAAAGGAGGGAGACGAATAAAGACAATTTACCCAGAAGGAAAACTGCCTCATTTCGAGTTCCGTTCCGAGCCTTGTTGTGTAGCCGTGGGGGGCTGGGAGGGCGGGGAGATCAATAGTCGTTTGTTTATACTCCAGCTTTTACATTTTCCCTTTTTTGCTGCGGAAAGGCAACTGTTATGAAGCATAATGATAGTGCCGCTAAAAGACAAGGGACGCAAGGAAAATGGGCGACTTCTGCGCTGGCTGCTTTGAAAATAATGATAATATGGATAAGGAAAAGAAGGGCACAGCGCATGTGGATTCCTTTCTAAAGGCGCAAAAAAAGGCGAAAAAAGGACGCGACAAAGGTTAGTGGACAGACTTCAGGTTGCGTGCGTGAGGATGGTGAATGCGAGGCAAGTGGCAAAGAATGTTTGTATTTGTGTGTGCGTGCGTACATGCCATTGGGTCGGCGGGGTATGCAGTTGACAGACGCCTGACTGACGCCTGGAACTTCCACTCCTAGTGCGGGCAGGTCACTCGGACCCTCGCTCCGGCTGACTGCGGGCCTCTCTCGCGTGTTGTCTTAGAACCGATTTCTTGCCGTGGTTGGGCGACTGCAGTGCTGCAGCCATCGCAGGGCTTTTGCTATTTCTGCAAATACTCGGTGTTTGCAGTTTTTATTTTCATTTTATTTTTATTATTTCTTTTATTTATGTTTATGCAAATAGTTTCCCTGTATTAGTAACCTTTGAGCGAGACTTGCAGGTAATGGCGAGGTTGGAGAGCAGTGCCTCCGAGCCCCCAAGCGCCCCCGGGAGGCGACTTCGACGACAGCTCCTTTCCTCCCACTGATTCGCCTGAATTTAACAGCTGTGTTGGTGATGCGCCTGGAGGGGGGTAGAACCCTTATCCCCCTTTCCCCCTCTCCCCTCCCTCCTCCAAGTGGGATTAGAACCGCTACTTGATGGACTGACCGATACAGCGGCTTAGGTAATCCTCCTCCGCCACCTCCTGTAAGGGATTTAGTTATTATGGGGTCTGTAATTAGGCCTGGCGTAAGATGACACTGTAGAGAGGGTTTGCAAGCCACTAAAGCCAGATTTGTATTACTTTGAATCAATAACCATGACAGTGCCTGAATTTCACTGAAAAATTAAAGGTAAATGCTGCTATGCGTCACGTTTACTATGCACAAACCCTTTCCCTCGCGGAGCACAGCTAATGACCTTAAATGGTTTTGGGATCAATAAGGGATGGATATTATGGGTGTGAATGGAGAGCAGGTGGCCGCTGCGGTGATCGATTGTTTTCATATAGTCGCGTCCAGAATTTCCATTTTCTCCCCCATTTTCTTTCGAATCTCTTCCTCTTATATTTATCTTATTCTTGCTTCAGAATGTTCAGTATGATTAGCGAAAGGCAGCGAGATGTTTTGCCATTGATTGCTGGTAGTAGCACAATGCACGACTTGGCACGCGCTTTCTGCAGGTCCCAAAGTGTACACACGAAAGTTGTTGGTGTCTAAGGCGACGGCACGTGGCGACAGAAGGTTGGCAGGGACGCCGTGCAAACAGATTCTTCATGAATGAGCAAAGCTTTCAGGCATCTTTATACGTCAGTTCTACAAGGGAAATAAAGACTCGTAGAGGATCACAAAGGAGGGGGGGGGGCTCGTAGAAGGAAGGTTGTGGGTCACGCAGCTTTAAGGAAGTTAAGGTAAATCTCCCCGGCCACGAAGCTCCCCATGACATCACGGGAGAAGAGGCGAGCACGGCCATTGGTGCCAGTAATGGGCACCCATGGGGCGTCGACGAGGTAGTTGGATGTACGTTGAGGGTGTAATGGGCGTCTCACCTATTTGTATGAGGTCGTGCCGATGTTCATATCACCGTGGGAAATGGGGCTCTTGGGAGACAGTTGTGGTTGGAGGTTAGAGTAGGAGGAAAGGGGGTGGGGAGCGGGGTCACTGGCCGAGGCGTCATGGCGGCGGCGACAGGGAAATTGTGCCTGTGTGCCAGTGATCGGTCATGCACGAGGAATCGATGTGGTGCTCACTGCCCTGCCACGCCGGTTCGCCGTAACGCGTCGTCCCCGCCTGCCAGACACGTCTACCTGGCCACGGAGAGTGATGGGGACTTGGTTAGATTGACGGATGTCGGCCACAGGGCACTCCACGAATGTCGGTTGCCGCAGTACGCCCAGGCATTCCTCGTTCATTAACTTTTTGTGCTTAATGTATGCATGCAGCTTAATTCTATTTTTCTATTTCTGACGTAAATGTTAATTTCAAATTATACACTGACGCATCACTTCCCCAAACAGAGCAAAGGACTCACCAACCGAAACAAAATCAAGCCTCAACCATTTAAACCCTCAGGTACCCCCTCCCCCCCGGACCCACCATAATCCCTGCACCCAATCGCTCTTGACGCCCAACCCACAGACAGCCCCGAGCCCTAATCTTTGTCAACCTTTTGCTATTACATAAATTCACCTTCGAGCCCCCACCGCAGAGTAGCGTCGATGACAGGTGACCATAGGAGAGGCGAAGTCAGCAGCAGACTGTCATCGTAAGGCTTCTGGTGGCATATTGTCAGCACTCAAGGTCTTCTCGGGCCCGAACGCACTGTACTAATGAACTAGTGATGTTGATATTATGTAGGGAAGGAATGTTTGGTGTTTTATATGGCATTTGTTTTTGTTTTTTTGTCGCCTTATCAGCTTTATCATTTTTTAAACCTTAATTCCTTAATTCCCTTTCCGAAGATTCTATACAAAATCAAAATATTGAGAACCTGTACAAAAAAAGAACACCCATTATTTAGCACAAGGGTAAATTACTCTATATTCTTTGTTGAAAGAGCAAATTGTTCATATTTGGCGTTAATGGCAAGATCCTGCAGAGTGGGCGTGGCGAGGACAATAAGGCTTCGAGGGGAGAGAAATCTTCCTTGATGAGAATGTGGCTTGAGATATAACGTGGCATTGTGTTGGGAAGGAGAGAGAAAAAGCGTGTGTGACAGAGACACACACACACACACACACACACACACACACACACACACACACACACACACACACACACACACACACACACACACACACACACACACAAACACGAACACACACACGAACACACACAAACACACACAAACACACACGAACACACACACACACAAACACACACACACACACACACACACACACACACACACACACACACACACACACACACACACACACACACACACACACACACACACACATACACACAACACACATACACACACACACACACACACACACACACACACACACACACACACACACACACACACACACACACACACACTCACACATACACACACACACACACACATACACACATACACACACATATACACACATACAGAGAGAGAGGAAGAATGAAAGAGAGAGAGGAAGAATGAAAGAGAGAGAGAGAGAGAGAGAGAGAGAGAGAGAGAGAGAGAGAGAGAGAGAGAGAGAGAGAGAGAGAGAGAGAATATATATAAGATGGCCTTTGAAGAGTTGAGATACTTTAAAAGAATAAACACTTTCCTTTAAAGGCAAGTTTTAGTGGGGTGATGAATAAACATTCAGAACGGGCTTATATTTAGGTATTGCTGTCGGAGATGATATACTTCTATGAATATTTGAATACTGAATGTGTATATATAACGCTGATGTGTTTTCCCTGTATGAGAGCCGTTGCATCTCGGTCATTATGTCTTCAGCTGTGTTATCAGTATTACCCTGCGGTATTCATTAACATATCACCTTGTTGCTATCTTATCGTTTGGTTACGTAAGATATCGGAATAATGATAGTACAACCGAGTTCTAGGAAAATGACGTTTGATTTCTAGAATTTATGAAGGGAACAGAATGGGTGACCAAAATAATCTGATTGGTGGGTGTGTTATTCATTTCAGGAGCGTGCGGAACACTATATGTGTGTGTTTGCGATAAGGACCCTTGCCATTTGTTGTGCAGGACCTGTAGGTAGAGAACAAATCTGAAGGTTCAAAGGTTTCCCTTGCTCCACATGGGCGGAAGCCGAGAAACCAAAGGGAAATTCAATCTACTTCATTTTTACTTCTTCCCAAGTCAAGAGGGCGTTCAGTAGTACTTTATAGTTGGGGCATTTTACAGTGACATCATTGTACTAAGCATTGGTCCATGGCAGAAATCGTGATTGGCGTTGCGTCTGGACATTGATTCCCTGAGGAAGAGGAGTAGGAGGAGGGTTTACAGTGCATGTTGACCTTGGCCTAGACCTTTTCTTTCGCCGTCTCTCCCCTTCCTTCGTACTCCCCGTATGCTTCATCTTCCTCGGGTGCCTCTTCCCTTCCCTCACCTCACGGGCCCGTGGATGCACTGCTGAATGAGGTGTCTAGCGAGCGAGCGAGCGAGCGAGAGAGGGAGGAAGGCCGGTTAGCTCGTTTGGCGATGCAGAGATGTTTTTCCCTTGCTCGGTCCGGCGATTTACGAGAGCGTGGTATTGATTCTTCCGTGCTTGCCGCAGGTTGTCTTGAGGTGATTGTCAGGGGAAGCCGCGCGAAAATGACACTTGACACTGCGTAAGCCATATTCGATTTTTGCAATGTACTTGGTCGAGATCTTAAACTAGTTGTTTCGAACAGAATGCCTTTGTCACTTTGTAGTGTGAAGGTAAAAGCACCGACAACATGTATCTCACGTTCACACTGGTATTTATGAATGCATTCTATGTCGTTGGTTGAATTGTTGCCATGCACTTTATTTACTTTTGAGATTCCACTTCTTTATTAACGGCGTTTTTCTTCTTCCCCAGACTGATGGGAGCGCAAGCTTCCTACGGGCGGCGAGGGCGGGGAACTTGGAGAAGGTGTTGGAGTTCCTCAAGACCAATACTGACATCAACACCTGCAATGCTGTGAGTAGTTCGAATTTCTTTCGGTGTTTCTGTGCGTGTTACATGTTTATACGAAAATTTTCCTTGTTTACTTTTTCTGTTTTCCTGATGGGTAGGTTTTTAATTGGGATAAGCATTTTTTAACTAGGCCTAACTGTGATTTTTTTTTTACTGGTGACACGGATATATCTTGAAAGGTAGATGATAAGACAGGTGACAAAGCTATTTAGATCAAGTGGGCAGGGGGGGGGAGGCATAGTGACGTATGTGTGATATAGGTGACAGGTCAAGGTTCGATTCACAGGTGTAGTAACACTTGAGATGATTACGTTACATTATACTTTGGCTCTATATTTACACACACACGCTTATACACACACACTTCAACACACTTGCCCACACGCACACTTACACGCGCACACGCATACACATACACATACACACTTGCATACACTTGCCCACAGTTACACACACTTACACACACACACACACACACACACACACACACACACACACACACACACACACACACACACACTTACACGCGCAATTACACACACCATTACACACACACGCACATGCACACTTACACGCGCACGCACACGCACACGTACGCACACACGCCCGCACACGCACACGTACGCACACACGCCCGCACAAGTACACTTACACACGCACAAGCACACTTACACACGCACAAGCACACTTACACACGCACAAGCACACTTTCATACACGCACAAGCACACTTACACACACACGCACAAGCACACTTACACACACAAGCAGAAGCACACTTACACACACACACACACACACACAAGCACACTTACACACACACACACACACACACACACACACACACACACACACACACACACACACACACACACACACACACATGCACACTTACACACACATGCACACTTACACACACACATGCACACTTACACACACACATGCACACTTACACACACACATGCACACTTACACACACACACACACACACACACACACACACACACACACACACACACACACACACACACACATAAATACACACATACATAAATACACACATACATAAATACACACATACACACATACATAAATACACACATACACACATACACACATACATACACACACACACATACACACACACACACACACACACACACACACACACACACACACACACACACACACACACACACACACACACACACACACACACACATAAATACACACATACACACATACATAAATACACACATACATAAATACACACATACACACATACATAAATACACACATACACACATACACACATACATACACACACACACATACACACACACACACACACACACACACACACACACACACACACACACACACACACACACACACACACACACACACACACACACACACACACACATTTATACATGCACATCTCTCTCTCTCTTTCTCTTTCTCTTTCTCTTTCTCTTTCTCTCTTTCTTTCTCCCTTTCTCCCTTTCTCTATCTCTCTGAAGTCAGTAATTAAAAGACCAAAGGGCATTAGTTTGGAAACTATATGGAATCACACATGTAGGTAATTATATACAGTTTAATGATTATTCACATTAAATGCCAATCATAAGGCACGTAAAAAGGAAAAACATTTATGTTTATTTTGTTATAGATTTACAAATGATAGGAAAGCTTATGTATGAATATTGACTGTATATTTGTATCAGATAAAAATCATTTGATTTGAGTGGCAGTGATCAGTGTTCTAGAATGTTACTGATTATTTGCTTATTCAGCTGTGAAATTTTTATTGTCAGTATCATTTATTTGTTTATTTATTCTTTTTAGAATGGCCTTAATGCCCTGCACCTCGCTAGCAAAGAGGGACATGTAAGTGTTGTAACTGAACTGCTGCAACGAGGTGCAAATGTCGATGCAGCTACCAAGAAGGGCAACACAGCCCTCCACATCGCCTCTTTGGGTGGGTTACTGGATGATTTACAGGCTTGGTAAAAATGTGAAATTTTGTTTGTGAAATGGAATTTGATGAAAGTTTTTGATGAAAGGATTAGATTATGATATTCATGTTATGTATTACAGCTGGACAGGAGGAGATTGTGAAAGTCCTTGTGCAGCACCAAGCAATGGTGAACATTCAGTCCCAAAATGGCTTCACCCCTCTGTACATGGCTGCACAAGAGAATCATGATAATGTTGTTCGCTTCTTACTGGCCAATAATGCCAATCAGAGTTTGGCCACAGAGGTATGTATTATTTTTTGTTTGTTTGTTTGTGTGATTTTTTATATTGTAATAAAAACACTGTTTGGTCTATAGACTTATTGTCATACCATGATATATAGGCTAATGTATGACTCCTCTTTTGCAGGATGGCTTCACCCCCCTGGCAGTGGCTTTGCAACAGGGACACGATAAGGTTGTGGCAGTTCTTTTGGAGAATGACACAAGAGGCAAGGTGCGTCTTCCTGCTCTACACATTGCTGCCAAGAAGGATGACACAAAGGCTGCAGCTCTTCTTCTTCATACAGACCACAACCCTGATGTAACCTCCAAGTCAGGATTTACACCTCTTCATATTGCAGCCCATTATGGCAACGAAAATATTGCGAATCTCCTCATTCAGCGCGGAGCTGATGTAAATTATGTTGCAAAGGTAAGTTATTGTTTTACATTTTTTTATTGTTCATATTCCTCACTTTAAAATATTGTTATATTGTGCACTTCTTCTTTTTTCTTATCTAAAAACACGATTATTCTTCAAACAGCACCAGATTACACCCCTCCATGTGGCATCGAAATGGGGTAAAGGAAATATGGTGTCACTGTTGATAGACAAGGGAGCTAATTATGAGGCCAAGACTCGGGATGGCCTCACACCCTTGCATTGTGCTGCAAGATCTGGTCATGACACTGTTGTTGATATGTTGCTAGAGAAAGGTGCTCCAATCACGAGCAAGACAAAGGTAAGCATCGTCAGTTCCTTAAAATCATTATAGAGATTCATAATGTACAAAAGAAACTTTTATATCCACCTGTTTGCAACTGTAAAGTCACTAACTGCTTGTATTGCAGAATGGGTTGGCTCCCCTCCACATGGCGTCGCAAGGTGATCATGTTGACGCAGCTCGTATCCTCCTCTACCACAAAGCACCTGTTGATGATGTTACTGTAGATTTCCTCACTGCTCTCCATGTGGCTGGTAAGATCATTGCATTCCTGTTACTTTTTACCCATAGTTTCTTTAAGTAATGTATGGTAAGATTTGATATTATTAGTGATTATTAGTGATAAGATTCATAATTTATGTAAAAAATTTCCTCCCTCTCTTAAACAGCTCACTGTGGGCATGTGCGAGTGGCAAAGCTGTTGCTGGACCGAAAGGCAGATCCTAATGCCCGAGCCCTCAATGGCTTTACTCCACTCCACATTGCTTGCAAGAAGAACCGCATCAAGGTGGTGGAACTGCTTCTCAAGCACGGTGCTAGCATTGAGGCAACCACAGAGGTTAGTAGGTGTAAAAAGTATGAATCTCTACTGTAAAAGAGATATTTGAATTGGTTGGTGTTTGGTGTGGTAATTTTTCAGTATAAAATTCTTATAATGTTTACCAATAATGATGACTATTAACCAACATTCTGGTAAGAAGAAGAGATTGTGTAAGTTTGAAAGGATTTTACTTATTTAATTACCTTCTTTCACAGTCGGGATTGACTCCACTTCATGTAGCATCTTTCATGGGCTGCATGAACATTGTGATCTACCTGATTCAACATGGAGCCTCTGCAGATGTACCTACTGTTAGAGGAGAAACTCCTCTCCACCTTGCAGCAAGAGCTAACCAGACAGACATCATCCGCATTCTGCTTAGAAATGGTGCTCAGGTGGATGCTAGAGCGCGGGTAAATATTGAATATGCTGTGTTTGTATATAATCCCAGAGTCCCTAAAGTTTCAAAAATTATGTATGGAAAATCAGAATGAGAGCATCATTTGCCAAACATAATTACCCATACAACTAGGAAATTTTATTACTTAAACATTTATTCCTTGTAGGAACAACAAACCGCTTTGCACATCGCCTCCCGTCTGGGTAACAGTGACATTGTTGTACTATTACTCCAACATGGAGCTGCTGTTGATGCCACAACCAAGGACCATTACACTGCCCTGCACATTGCTGCCAAGGAGGGTCAGGAGGAGGTGGCTAGTGTACTCCTTGAGCATGGTGCCTCCTTGACCTCCACCACAAAGAAAGGTTTCACACCTCTTCATTTAGCAGCTAAATATGGTAATATGAAGGTAGCCCGCCTGTTGCTGCAAAAGGATGCCCCTGTTGATGCACAGGGGAAGAATGGTGTTACACCTCTTCATGTGGCAGCACATTATGACCATCAGGTGAGTTATTGAGTTACTTTTACTGTAGAACTCAACTATATCTCATGACTAGTTATCTTAATACTATGATTTTTTATTTATCTTTTTGTACATCAGCAAAAAGAAATTAGTCAGAATTATGTAAGTGATTTAGTCTCATTTGTCTCAACAACAATCCTTTTCAGAATGTTGCCCTACTACTGCTGGATAAGGGTGCATCTCCCCACGCCACAGCTAAGAATGGTTACACTCCTCTCCACATTGCTGCTCGCAAGAACCAGATGGACATTGCAACAACGCTGCTTGAATATGGTGCAAGTGCCAATGCTGAATCTAAGGCTGGATTCACACCTCTACATCTTAGCTCCCAGGTATTACCTCAAACTTATGACTTAACTGAGTTAACCAATAACTCCAATACCAATAGTTTTATCTGCAAAAAGAGTATATGCGTGTGATATACATTTGAAATCTTTAATTTCCTTTTCTTTGCAGGAGGGACATACAGATATGGCAACACTCTTAATCGAACACAATGCTGCACCAGGAGCTTGTGCAAAGAATGGACTAACCCCATTGCATCTGTGCGCACAAGAGGATCGTGTCAATGTTGCTGCTATTTTGGTGAAGCATGGAGCCCAGGTAATTACTTCCTACCAAGATTAGATGGAAAGATATGAAAAAATAGTTTTTTTATGGTGATTACTTTTATAAAGTTCTTTTTTTGGATATAATATTAAAGAGCTTTTATTTTCTTCTTTTCAGATTGATCCAGCAACAAAGGCTGGTTATACACCACTGCATGTTGCCTGTCACTTTGGGCAAATGAACATGGTGCGCTTCTTGCTACAGCATGGTGCCAAGGTTGAGTCCTCAACACAACTTGGGTGAGTGGTTTTACCTTTCTACAGGTTGAATATCAATTGTTCAGCATTCACTGGTTTTGGACCCAAATTTAGGTGTCATTAAGTTTGCATTATGGCTCCTTGAGTAGTTCTGGTTTAACCTATATGTTTACATGGAAATTTAAATCATATTATATGCATAAAAAGATATTATAGATAGATATTTGTTATATGAAATATACAATGCTCCTTCAGGTAGTATTAAAAAAAAAAAGTATGCCTTTCTATTCGAATGAGAATGAGATGAAAGCAAATATCTTGAGGAAGTAATGAAAAGTCAATAGTTTCCTCATAGGCTTTTGAAAGAATTAGAAAAGTGTTAAGTGGTCTATGCCTGATAACATGGTATCACAGGAGATATGGTAGAGATAAAACCAGACACAAGATAAGGATGATAAGATATGAGCCCTATGTGCCGCATAGCAATCAGTCTCACACAGAACCTAAATAACACAGTATTACCTGAAAATATAGATCTTATTTACTGGGCTTGCTTCATTGTATATTGGATAGACAATTTTATTTTCCCTGAGAGTTGACAGTGTTTCTTTTTGTGTAAGGGTCACAGTTTGGAAAAGGGAGTGTACCTTGTGCATCAAAAAAGCAAGCCACACCTATTAAGAATTATTGATTACTATTATTATTTTTTGTTTTTTTCCAAAGTAAGTACAGATATATATATTAAGTGTATATAGTTTGCTTTCATTTCAATTATAGGTTATATTTTGTTAGGCAGTGTAAGCTTTAAGTTAGTTTTATTTACATATATTGATAGAATTTTAGAAGAGCAGAGCACACATTGTCAAAGTATAAGAGACTATATTAAGCAGTTTATTCTTTATAGTCTTTCTTGTAATAGATAAATTTTATAAAATAGCTGACATATACTGTGATATATTCCCCAACAGGTACACTCCTCTCCACCAAGCAGCTCAACAAGGCCACACTCAGATTGTCAACTTGCTCCTCGAAAACAAGGCTGAACCTAACGCAGAAACAAAAGTGAGTTATTTTTTTCTGCTGATGTATATGTTTGAATGAATGCTTCTAGACATGTGGGTGGAGTTCCCTTGTATACCTATACATACATATGCAATTGTTCATAATGGATTTCTATGTAGAGTTACAGGTGCTTGTCTAACTGGAAATGAATGAATGAGTACCTGAAAGTAAGAATGTGGATGTTGGAATAGACCAGTTTTCCCTGTTGACTACTACTATTATTATTTGAAAAATTCAAACCAATATCATTTATCATTATATTAGAAGTTACCAAATTTGATAGTACAGAATACGTACTATCTTACTGAAATTGTTTTTTGTTTTTTTTAACTTACTAAGTTTGTATTATTGGGAAATTCAGATTTTTTATTGTGCTTCATGTGACATACTTTATATACATTATATTTTTTTCATTGAACATTAATTTGAAAAGTACTGATACTCTCTTTCTATTCCCATTTAATAAACCAACTAACACTATTCAATTCTTCAACACAGGACGGCAAGACGGCTCTAAGCATTGCACAACGTCTCGGCTACATTTCTGTAGTCGAGACACTGAAGATTGTGACAGAAACGACCATTACTACTACCACCACGACTGTCACAGAAGAGAAGTACAAGGTGGTTGTGCCAGAGACAATGCACGAGACCTTTATGAGTGAATCAGAAGATGAAGGAGGTAGGTGTTTCATTGATAGATTAAGGATACAAGTACATGTAAATCATTTCATTTTGGTTTGGAAGTTTTGCAAACAGATGTGTTTTGGATTTTTTTTTTTCTCTAATTGGAATTCCTCTTGGACTCAGTTGTTGATATGAGGGTGTTAGACTATGAAGTTTGTTTGTTTTGTGATTTTCTGCCAAAATTCAGTCAGTTTTTTGTAGTTCTTGATGGTTTTATGGGTTGGTTATTCTAGGTTTTAGCCTGATACATTTACCTTTTGTCTAACGACTGAACTTTTTGTGATAAATATTACAGTAGAGTTTTTCTTGCAATTAGTAATCATTGTCTCAGTAGACATGATCATGTATATATTTAATTTTTAAGTTTGAGGCATCCTTACTGAGCAGCGATGTTCTATTTGTGTACTTCAATAGGACCCCCCCCCCCCCCCATATGTCTTATGCTTTATTGCTGAAGCTGTTGGTTAGCTAAGCTTTATATTTGTACATATGGTAATCAACTGCTTCACCTTGGCACAATGAAAAAAATTTATTTGCCTGAAATTTGAGATACCTTAAAGGTTTTTGGCATTTGTTTTTTAGACTATTTTTGTAGACATTGTCAGCTAAGGATTCCAGAATAGTTACTGAAAAAGGAGTGGAATGAATGGAATGGAACTCTGTCTTATGCTGGCTTAGTACTTTTTAAAGGCTTTGCATTTACCAGTATCAGTGTTATATGAGGTCACTGGGAAAAAGCATTACCTTCTGTGAGAATGGATGGTTGAGCGTGTTTATGCATTTGTTATTAGAAGTTTGATCAGAGAGCTGAGTGCAAACCATTATCTTTGTATTGGTTCTTGAAGCATGGTCTAGAATGTATTGGGAGATACTTTTCAGTGCTAGGTACAATTTGAAGAACTGACAAAAGCCTTTTTTTTTCTTGATTATTTGACCAAGTGTGTTTCATGGATCTTTAGTTAACAATCCCAGGATAATAGATGATTGGTACTGTTTAGTTGGAATGTTAAGAGTGCCTTCTATTTTTTGGTTTTCTTTGTCCCTGACTTGATACTGAAGAAGTGTGATGTAATTTTTTAATAACTTATTGTTTGAAATGTTGATATCTTTTAGGATTTGTTATGATTTTTCTTTTTTTATGTGTTTATTTACTACTTTTTTTTATCACACAAACTGACTTCCATATTTTTTCAATGAATGACATATTGACTGGCACACAGGACGTCTGCTTATGTTACAGTTATCTTAGCCAATAATTTGATGCTTTTTTAATGCACATTATTGCATTGATATGGCATGCAGCCCTTTTAAAGCAGCACGTAATTTTATTTTCTTCTTCTTTTTTTTTTTAATTTGTTTGTTTGTTTAATTCTGCATGCAGGGTCAGTGCTTATTATTTTACTGTAGATGAGATTTTATAAATCATTATATTTTATTGCTCTTGCTTTTTTTTTTCTAATTTCATTTTCATTGATAAGCAAATAAATTCAAAATACATTCTATGTTCAGTAAATTGAAATGTGAAGTGTAATTTTAGCATGTCATTGCCTCTGTATGAATGAATTTTTTTAAGTAGAAGTTCTTGTTAAAGGAATATAATTATATGCATGAGAGAGCAACAGTGCAGGGCATTCTCAAGAAGCATCGTCAGCCAGAAGGGTAAGGAGCAGCCATTACTCTAAAGAGACGTGACGAGTGACAGCATCGTGACAAAGTGTAGTTTAGATTTTGCTTATGATCCTGATTTATCCTTCATTTCTTGAGTCCTTTTAGTGTTTGTGCATATTGATGTTGATATTAGTTGCCCAGAGGGTTATTTCATTTATAGTCTGGGAAAAGATATGTAAATAGGCTATGATCAATTAGCAGTGTAACAGTTTGACTGGGCACAAAATACAATTCATATTATTTATGTGACTGTAAGAGATCATTCTATCAAGATGTGAACTTGATTTAGTTACAGTGATTTGCATGGTGCACTAGAGCCCATTAATATATGTTTTCATTCAGATTAAAATAGGTAATTGAAAATCAAGAAGGGATATCAGGACATAATGTGTTTTTTTCCAGTAACATTGCATGTGATGAATAACCAAAGAAATGTGATATGCAATGAAAATGAATGATAATGAAGTGTGTTCATAAAATTTCCATCCAGAATTGACCTTTAATAAGTTTACCAGACTTTATTTCATTTTTTTTTTATATATCTGTCTTCTAAGTTGCCCATTGTTAACATCAAACTGAAACTGGAAAACTTATTTTACATCTCCCTAATATAATTCTGTGTGTATTCATGAAAAGTTATCCTTCCAAACTGTTATATCAAGTTTTTGAGAGTATCCAATTGGGAACATATTACCCTGTTACATATAAAGTTGCTCATAGTTCATAACCTTTGTTGATGTTGTTATTTCTTATTGTAATGTGTAGCTTTGGGCTGATACATTATTCCTGTATTTAGTATTGTATTTTTATTTGTCTGAGAAAACATAGTTTTGTCACTTGGATGGTAATATTATTTAAGCAAAGATCCCGTGTAAATACTGCAAGTTGCATGGAGTTACTAACTGAAGATTTTTAACCAGGAGTAATATGAAATACATTTTTGCTAAAATCATTTCAGTTTTGAAAAATTTATTGCAGTCCTAAGCATGATTAAGAAGTCAAGACTATGAGACCCTGTTTGATAACTGACACTCTCCTGGTGCTTGCCTAAGTTTTATGATGTATGTTGCAGTCATTTTGGATTTGAACATCAACTTGATTTCTGGTGTTCAGATTTGAAGTAGCAATATACCAATACAGATAAATTGTATATGGCATATATAGCCATCTGCTGAAAAAAATACTAATGTAAAAGACTTCAGCAAGCACTCCAAGACAGACATAGACCTAGGCGTGACAACACTGCA